CGGGAGGGCCAGTTTCAGGGATGTGTGAGAGGAGATTATCTAATTCCTCCAAGAAGTCCCCCAAGGCGCCTGGTGGACGGTAGAGAACAACAATGGTTAATTGTATAGGATGGGTTACTGTGACGGCATGGAATTCAAAGGTGGAAGGAGTGAAGTTAGGTAGCTTGAAGAGGGAAAAGCTCCAGTTGCGAGATAGCAGGAGACCAGTGCCACCTCCTCTGCCAGTGGGTCTGGGTGTGTGGGTGAAGGAATATGCTGTGGAGAGAGCTGCTGGGGTGGATGTGTTGGATGGAGTAATCCAGGTCTCAGTGAGAGCAAGGAAATCCAGAGACTGCAGGGAAGCGTAGCCAGAAATGAAGTCAGCCTTAGGAACAGCTGACTGGCAGTTCCACAGGCCACCTGAAACTAGATGTTGGATCTCAGTGGAGCATGTGGGATAGACGAAAGCAGGCCGGTTATATCGATTAGGAAATACACGGGGCCAGTGATAATTGCGAGAAGAAACATGAACAGGAATGGAGAAAATACACATGATTATAGCATGAGGGGCTAAAAAACTAAATAAAACCCCAGCGATACTTAGCTCAATCAAAGTAGGATTTGCCTCCTCTTTGCCTCTCGTGACTCCCGCAGGACTCTAATGTCTTTGTCAGTCTTTGACTCCCGCAGGACTCTAATGTCTTTGTCAGACACCTGATTGCTGAGTTCTCACAGCTGTGGGGCCACGCCCCTTTAATTAGTTAACTCTCTGCAGCTGGTGGCCCTCAAAAGGAAATCAATAAATAAAGCTCTTAGTATTCTACAAATGTTTAAACCAAAGTTAACCCTAGCAGTCAGTTAGTTCAGTTTTAAGGTTTCAGTCAAATTACTTGTCCCAAGTTTCTGCCTGACAGATACTGTAGCGGTTTTGAGATTTAAAATCACAATTTCAGTCAGATCAACTACAGAGCATTTATACAGAGCACACANGTCCTATAACAGAAAAAGACCACACTAGGAATTGTATGACAACCTTGGGTCCATTGGTGTCAGAATCCGCTGTAACCAGGTACAGGGGCTCGTGATACGGCCACGTAGCCCACCGACTCAAACGTCGAGCACTTGTGTCAGTCGTCCATACCTCTGTGTCCGGCATGTTACTGCGAGACGGCGACCCTCGTGCATTTTGTTGTTTGTCATTTATGTGGGCTTAAGAGACCTATCTTCTCCAGAATAGAATTGCAGTTTACCTCTTCTAGATGTCAACCCTAGTGTCCATATCACTGATTCATCTGGTGGGTTACTGACTTGGACCTAGTATTACCAACTATCCTATGGTCCCATATTCTGGTTTGACTCTCTTCGTTTGGTAATATTATACGTGTACTGTTGGTAATTTGACATCCTTGTCACTTTTCGGGCTTCTTCTGTCTTATGTCGGAAAGTACCTCCAAGTGCTCTCCGTTTATTGACGCAAATGGTCTTTGCATACTAATTGAAGAGTCTCTTAGACTACAAGGTGATTCCTTTATCGTTTATATTAGTTTATTACACGAAATACATTTGTAATTTTCAACTACTTTCTGTCTTTTATCTGAGAGTTTGTTTGTGAAAAGAACAAGAGGATTAAAATGTTATTGTCTCTTGTAGACTACACCCAGGGGACTTATTTGGTGTGAGCTGTTGTAAGAGTCAAAAGGCGTGACTCCGTCAGAAATCTATAATCTAAAATACCCCTCCTCCTCTCCTGTTTCTATGGAATAGTAGCCTTGTAGTCTACTATCAGGTGTCTCTACTCCGTGATGGTTTGCATTCAAACAAACTTAGACTAACAACACATCGACCCTTAAATTACTAGAAGAGACAAAGTGACCAAAAATGATGATTTTAGTTCGAGTTATAAACAACCATGAGTAAATGACAACGGTAACTAGTTCATTATTTCATATTCTTTCCTTACACTTCCTTCGAAAGAATAGCAATACAAACCTTACGAATGTCTATCCAGAAGTAGTACACTTGTCGATTGCCAAAAGTGTGACCGAGCAGGAATTCATAAGTCATACGAGTGAACCTCTTTCTTTGAGACCTAACTCCATGACCGGGTCGTCTTCGACTCACAGTTCGACTACTTGTCCGTCTGGGATGGACAAACCCGTACCTCCTCTACCAGTCTGCAATGGCTTCTGAAACCTACAGTCGTCGTCACCTTTGAGTTCTTTTAATTAACAAAAACATTAACAAATATAAAACTGTAATAAGGGTAGAACTATGCTAAGTGTACGATATTCTACATACCCAAATGTACAACTGTCACCATTAAACTAATGTTAATTTACTAGAGTTAGTAGTAAAAGACAACAGATATGAAGGTATAAGTGGCAAAATTCAATTCCTCTTTTAATCAGGGTTTATAAAGTGAGAATTCATTTGCACTACTCAAGATTGTAAATTTACTCTATTTACTACATATACACAAATTCACGAATACCAGCCAATAGAAGCGTTTTATATTATGCACATAATAAACATTCGACTCCAGGGATTTCTCGGTCCACATCCACTACAACCGTAGTGGTATTCTACGTAGATTAAACATCATCCTGGAAAATTGACTAGGACCTCTATAGGGGTGTGGGCTTCCTTTTTTGGGAAGTACTTGAAATTTATTTTTGTGTGATGTCTAACTCCCAAGTCTCCGCATAATGAAGGGAATCACATTACAGTTATATCAACCTCAAAACTCCGTCATTTTTTTACGTAAAAAGAACTTCCTTTGAGTTGTAAAATCTTCAACAACTTCGGTAAGATGGTGTATACGTACAAAGGGAATCCAAGAACAATAAAACACTTCCTAAAATTACATTATGACTTAATTCGATAAGTCCTGAAACCCCTTGTATTAGGACGTAATAATTTATGTGTTAAAATTCATCGAATAAACGTATTATGTTATTGAACATTAGACTTCATTTGAGTAACGTTGTCTGAACACCATACGATCCGTAAAATAAGCGCGTAAGTCGATAAAAAAGTTCTTTTCATATACACGGAGATTGTTAATTTACTCATAGTATGAAAGTCGCTGCGCACCCACGGCGTTATCAGGACCGTGTAGAATGAACTTTATAAATTCAGACAAAACGTCACAATTTTATTGAAAATAGTTTATAGTAAAACTTACCGATCTGAAAGTAGGAACACGAAGAACTCGATTAAACCCGAACATCGTTTTACAGAACAAAAAAGCGCGGTACTAATAGAGCATAGAGGTGGCAGATTAGAATTCGTCCTAAAGAGTTTGTGTGTTGGTCTGTATTTAGTGAAAATCCCAAGTAGTCTTTTCTTTCACCCGCAGAATCGTTGCGCGGCCGACAAGACAGATACTTATATTACTTCGCACTCAGAGAATCTCTTTGTGGAGGTACAGTAAAACAAAGGGGTTATCTACAGTGCTCTTATATCTGTCGACAGTGTCATTCGTCCGGGTAATATAAACAAGATCAGAAATTATATAGGAAAAGATGTTTCATGGGCCATTCGTTGGACAAAGTATAGAAGAGAAATGATAACGTCTTTGTGTAAAACACCCGTTGCAAAAAAAAGGATATTGGGTAGGTCTCCCTTTCCATACCTTGTCGATAACTCGAGATCGTCTCCACTTAGACACGTGGTAGCACGCTTCCAGTTTGCCCAGTTTCGTTGGATAGGTGAGTTGGGAACTAAGGTAAAAAATAAGATTTATGTGTGTTGTGAATTTAATACGAAACATCTCCATCTGACGTCCGACTCCAGACATTTGACGTCCGTCACATAGTACGTTATCGAAACCTTTGTTTCTCGAGTCTGTATCGTTCTCGTTAGCCGTACGAGCATTCGACTCGTCAGAATGGATGACCTATCGTAGCCCTCGTGATTTACGATAAAGGGTTTAGTATCAACAACTTCCTATCATAAGTCTAACAACTGCGGTTCACAACCTCGCGTGATTAGCTCGTCTGCTTGTAACAGCGCGTACTTTCGGTGTGTGGCCGTCTTGTAGCTTCGTATTACTATAGTGGTCCTTATCAGAGAGTCTAAAGTTGTATGTTAGTTCCTCAACTCCGACAATACTCGATTTCGTGAATCCGAAGTGTAGACATTTCCTCTTAGCGACATCTTAACTCAAATCCGTCATTTAGTGGTCTAACTTTGTATTTGTGGACTTCAGATTTTCTTATGGAGTCCGATTTATTAGTTTACGCAAATGCATTTATGTCGACGGTAGTACGGGTACGAGTTAACATGATGATATTTGTAAACTACGGCCTACACAACATTGAAATACGATTAACCATAAAGCGGTCTCTTGACGTCATACGTCTTCTTGCCTCTTTGGTAGTCTTTTACTACACTCTTCATGGTGTTTTGGCTCGTTTTATCTATAACCATTCTCTCGTATTTTACCTAACTGCTTAACTGAGTTATGATCATGAAAATATGTGGTTTGTGACCGTAAACAAGATAACACAATCACCCGGATTCTTCCAACCTCTTTCTTACTCGTCGTAAATGTTAAAGGAGCCTATGTGACTAAATGTAGACCACCAATACTGAACTCTGATCATAATGTTGTGAATATGATACCAGTGTATAAGACCAAACTGAAGAGAAGTAAACCGGAAAAGAAAGTAATAAGGACATGGACAAATGAAAGTAGGGAACAGTTGAAAGCCTGTTTTGATTGGACAGATTGGGAAATTTTTCAGGAAGGTTCACTAGATGAAATAACTACTGTTACCAATGACTATATCAACTTCTGTGTAGAACTAGTTGTTCCCACTAAAGAAATAAAAATCTATCCAAATAATAAATCTTATGTGACTAAGGACATTAAAACCGTTATAAATACCAGGAAAATAGCTTTCAAAAACAAAGACTATGGAGCACTTAAACAGACAGAGAAAGAACTGAAAGTCAAATTGAGGGAATCAAAACTGGCACACAGAGAGCTTTTGGAAAATGCTTTTAAAGCCAAAAACCCCAAAAAGGTATGGGACACCATGAAAACCATGACAGGAATGTCATCCTCAGCTAAACCTATTGTGACGAACAATGAATTTTGTTTTGCTAACGAACTAAACACGTTCTTTACCCGTTTGGAGTCACTGGATAATTCTGCAAAGTGCACTGAAATGCTCGAAACCATAATACCTACTTCCTCTGACAAAATGACCATCAATGTCGAAGAGGTCAGAAAAACATTTCAGTACAACAATACCAAGAAAGCGGCTGGGCCAGATGGGTGCAGCGGCTTTCTGCTGAAGAACTTTGCTACTGAGCTGGCTCCAGTGTGGCAACACATCTTTCAGGCTTCTATTGACACGCACACCATCCCTCTGTCATGGAAAACTTCACACATCAAACCACTGCCCAAAATTCCATGCCCAAAAGAACATAAGGACTACAGACCAATAGCCCTCACCTCAGTGATTATGAAATCACTAGAAAGAATTCTGCTCCGATTTCTTATCAGTACAACACAAGACAAACTGGATCCATACCAATTTGCCTATAAACAAGGGTGCGGCACGGAAGATGCTGTGGCCACTCTGGTTCACATCATCACTAAACATTTAAATAAACGCAACACCTATGCAAGAGCCCTCTTCCTAGACTTCTCATCAGCATTCAACACAATAAAAGCAGACATCTTGGTGTCAAAAATTGCCAAAATGGAAGTAAATCCATACCTGATTTACTGGTATGCTGCTTTCCTCACTAGTAGAGAGCAACTTGTGAAGGTTAACAAAACCCTGTCATCTGCCATCACAACCAATGTAGGGGCCCCCCAGGGCTGCGTGAGTTCAGCTGTGCTCTTTACTCTCTACACTGATGATTGTCGTACCAACACACCAAATCAAGTCATCATTAAGTACTCTGATGATACTGCAATAATATCTCTGCTCAGTAACACAGACGACCCTGAGCTGCACCCGAAAGGCTGTAAAATAGGTGGGTGAGGTTGGACTGATACAATGCTCTCTTGAGTCCAACGACCAAGAAAACGAGAAATATTATATACCATTCAAGACCATCCCTAAAGCCCATTGTTCTCCAATAATAAAAACACAGAACACATAACTATTGGCGGGTAATGATTTGACCATCTGCTGCCATGGAAGGATTCACATTGAACATCTGTGCCCCAAATTGGACCAAAAACAAAGAATTTATTCTCCTCCGTCTTAGGATCTTTGGGGCGGCCAGGAGAAAATTCCTTCTTTGTTCCTTTACATCCTGGTGGGATCATGTCTTCATTTGCAGTATGCCCAGTATCCTGGTTACAATGTTGGTCCAGCAGCTTTGAAATCAAGAACTGCTCCCACCCTGTTTTTAAAAAATCCTGGCTCAAAGATGTTGGTCCAACCCTGTCTAGACTCATGGATCAGCCTATCCAAAACCTAGGTGGGAAGGGCTGTTCCCACAACATCCGAATCTCTGACACCAACCCTATGGTCGCGACGTGGAATAAATTAACTGCTACATCTAATGGAGATACAGGTCCCAAGATTCAATAGAAGGCCAGACTGAGGCACTTCTTCGTGCACAGTCTCTCAATCTCACAGTAAATAAGGAGAAATCCAGTATCCGAAATGCAACGCTGAAAGCGTCTTTGAAGCATGTTTTTTCCTCACTGATTGTGGCTTTATGTTTAAAGGAAAGGCTCCCCCAGTCATAGATAGTTGAATAAAATCCAGTATTTAGTGGGAACTTATGTTTAAAACCATACCCAGAAGAGAGAAATCAGCCGATTATCAGGTAAAATATATGAATTTAGCTCTTTTTATCAAAACTGTATATTCCCCTCTCCAGGCACTGCCCCATTTTGCGCCCATTTTCCCAGTGTCACGATGAAATCCCGAAACTAGGTGTGACGTCCATCTATGCCGTCACTTGGTAAACATCGAACAGCCATTCGACGAAACATGGGGAGTATTTGGGAGTTCGGATTCGTCAGCCCGAGGAAGAAGTTTGAGCCATGTGGAAGAAGATGAATGGGGGGAATTCCAGCATACAGGGTCCGACCAAGGGCAAAACCGTCATGAACCAGGGGACAGTGACGATGAAGGATGACAGGCACGGTGATCTTGCCGGAGAACGATCCTTTGACTCGTGCAATTTGATTGGGACGCAGTAGGAGACCGTGTNTTGTGATTTTAAATCTCAAAACCGCTACAGTATCTGTCAGGCAGAAACTTGGGACAAGTAATTTGACTGAAACCTTAAAACTGAACTAACTGACTGCTAGGGTTCTAGCAGTCAGTTAGTTCAGTTTTAAGGTTTCAGTCAAATTACTTGTCCCAAGTTTCTGCCTGACAGATACTGTAGCGGTTTTGAGATTTAAAATCACAATTTCAGTCAGATCAACTACAGAGCATTTATACAGAGCACACACATTGAAACAGAGAAGTCTAAAAACAGAATGTTACTCACACAATTCTAGAAGTCACCAGTTGTTATCCTGTCAAAATCGAGTTGCACACCACTACTCAAACTACAAATCATAAATCACTCGTTTGGAATGAGGATACTGTTTATCAGTGTTTTTCTTTCACAAGCCAAGTGGAATATCATCCTCCAGTCAGTAGAGCATAAGGTAGAGTCTACCTTTTCCACCAATGAGATGTCACTACTCTAACTCCACAGTATCCTGAACCTCATGTCTGTGATTTCACTCGTGTGTGCTCCAGCCAGCGAAGGCAGTCATGTAAACAGAATGTTTGGCCGGTCTTCAAAAGCGAGGGGATCTGGCTGAAGAATAGAGACCCCTGTAAATGTCAGCGTGCCCATTTCTCTCTCTTTCTTGGTATGTCCTTTCCTCTATCACCAACCCTCTTCTGGCTAATGTAAAAAAAAAAGCCCTTCCTTCTTTCTAACCTCTCCCACTCAATAAAATATGTTTTCTGAACTACTGTACATTAACATCTACTTACTCTGGTCTGCTATCGATAATTCGACTTGAGTGTACAAACTATATAAATAATGCAACAATTGCATACTGTATAGCTTGAGTTATTTTATATGTGAGTGTCATCTTTTTCCATGATCATACTTCTACTTGCTCTTTTTTAAATCTGTCTTATTACAGCACAAAGGTTCACATTCACTCTTCTCTCTTTAATAACGCCGCAGTATGCAGTAGGTATCAGCGTTCCAACGCTTCATTAGGAGACCATTACACTGAGACACGTCTGGTCTCTATAATTTTCTAATTTCATCTCTCTTTCGTCCCACAACTCAGACACTTGCTCACTTCCTCCAGTCACTGTCAATCAAAATCCACGCTCATTATACAGATCTTTGCTCTAAGAGGTTTCCTGTGAGTCTTGACATTGATGTAGTTTCAAGTTAATAGTTTCATCTGAACTCACTTGCTTCGAGGTGTGTTTTTTACCACTTAATAAAATAAGACTTTCTCTGACTATGGACTGAAGGCATTTATAGTAGCAAGACTAAACTGTGCGGTATAGTGCTTTTACGCTCAAAGAGTTTCAAACTTCAACTGGGAAAGGAAAATTGGAGTGCATAAAACCCTGTGGTGTGGTTTGAAAAAAGAAACTTTAATGCATAATTGATTTTGACATGTAGTGTTTCATTGATGATTTTATTATTGTGATGTCGCTGTTGCTGCTGAGGAAGTGTTGATAACTTCCAGTACTATAATAACAATGATTTGCAAAATGTTTCCCTCTTTGTTTTCATCAACCCTGTTTTATCATGTTGTTATGACAACCTAACATAGTTTATTCTCATTTGTTAAAGTTGAATTAGATACCTCCTTCTTGTAACCTGTAATTTCCTACTTACAATCAGCCGACATGGAGCTACATTGTTTTCATGATGTTGTTGAATCGTGTTTCTAGACATGTGACAAAACTAAAGCCAGTATTTCTATGGCACCAGTATCTACATCTAGTTGTCCCAAAATGAGACCAGCTGTAAATGCACATTGTATTTCCATTTTGCAGGGCATTTTGGACTCTACACCATTGAAACCGTGATTTATTTAATATAATAATGTGCTTAGCCCAGACAGCTGATAACACCTAAAGTGATAATATACTAAGTAAATTATATGGATGGAATATAAATAAAAAATGACAAATCAGAGCATGATTTCGTAAAATAATGGGCAATAGAGAAGGCATCATACTCCCCTGTGTGTAATAAACCACAGACTTTAATCATCATCTTCGATCATACTCCTCAGAAAAATCATGCTGCAGGGTAATTATTCTATAAACATGACCTAGTCCTTATTTACATAAAATAGCACAGCCATTTTGTTGCAAACAAATCACCACTGATGCACAGTATGATAGGCTGCACAGTACACACTGAACTCATTGAACTAATTACATCAACAAGTACGTACAGTAGGGACTTGATTGTTTTGGCCCAGATTGTTGTTTTAATATCATTACAAATGTGATGTTACCAAAAAGCCTTGCTATGCATGTGTTTGATATTGTCAGCAAATAATTACTTCAGATAATACTATTATACTGTAACCTCTTTCAAAAAGTAAAACATTTTTTAAAAATTATTATTTAGTTATCAGTATCAATTAATTAGTTTGATTATGTATGTTTATATCATTTGGCAACATGTTTTTAAAAAAAAATGTATTTTCCTCCCTCCATGTTTTTCCCATTATTTAGTATTTTCAGCACTTGAATTCTCAAGTTTGTGTTATATTAAGTTAAAAAACTATAATTTAACTGGTGCATATAAATGTTTTAATTCACCTGACCTGCAACTGACTCAAACAGCTTGGGATTCATTGACACGTCAGGTTCTCATGCTTTGAATCTCTGTAGTAAAATAATTCTGTAGATTAAAATAGAATCCTAATCTCATGATAGGGGAATCAAACTAATTACGTCCGCTCTCTTCATATCTCTGTGTTTTTAGTCTCTGCGACCAGAAGAGAAGCTTCTCCTCATTGCAGCCTGCTCTCCCTCCCTCTCCCCCTCAGAGAGATAGCGTGCCAAAGACTGTGAAGAAAGAGATAGGCTATCTGATTGTTGTCAATAAGTTTTCCTGTTTCTCTTTCTGTCCTTTCTTCTTTGTCATCTATTTGTCCTTTATCTTACCTGCTGCATGTATGAACTCCTCTCTACCTCCGCAGGGGCCAACTGTCATCGGTGGTTTGATGTTTATTTTCCCATGAGGTTGTTCTGGTCTGCTGTTTTTTTCGTCACCACATGATATTTTGAATGTCTTCTTTAAAGTTGATTTGCACTCATATCATAAAGTTGGGTGATGAAACACTAATATCACAAAGAGCATACAACACAACAGCTAGTAGCAGCATCTGAGGCACACATGCAGACATGCCATCTCCTTAAGCGTCAGCTTTTCAGTAATTCAGGAGAAGCTTTGACATTTTATTCAGATATAACATCATTTGAATCAATGTGGTGTTTACCCAGCGCATTACACATTATGGTATGTTCACATTATTTTAATTTTCCCGAAGTGTCACTGCCTCCTCCATATCACTATTGTGTGAGGATAACCTGTAAGCCTGACAAAGCAGCTGCTTAGGGGAAATGTTAAGTTCAGTCAGACATCAGTTTCGTGGAATGCGTTTACATGAACTGTGATAACCTGGTTACCATAACACTTGCTGATATTGAGCTGATCAGTAGTCTGGGTTTTTACATATCATGCACCCTATTTTTGACAGAAGAATGGCACACATATGCACAACCATCAAAATGTTTAGAATAATATGCTGGAAATATTTTGCGATTGATTTATTTATTGATTAACTTATGCTATTTTTTTTTTAGCAATTTGATTTGAAATGTATCCCAGCAGTTACATAACATGTATTTCCATGTCTTAACGGTGTAACCTTTTGATGATTGATTTTGTTTTGTGTACAGCACATCAATAACCTGAATTCCAAACATCCAGTATGTGGTAAACACCACTATACTGAAGTTTGCATTTCCCATAATGCAATTCAATGCCATCTTCATCATTCATTGTGATGCAGGGTTTCTGTTTTCTAGTCTCCTTGCCTTAGTTGAAAAAACAGTGATGGCGTCACTGAGACGTTAACAGGATTATTTATCTAGAGACAGCAACATTACACAACACTTTTAACAGACTGCAGAATATTCCTCCTGAAGATTAAACTGAACGTCCTGTTGACAATTGGAGGAGGGCCCCTTAAGTAATTGGCACAAGTAAAAGATATGTTCCTTTAGCATTTAAACCTAATCACTTACCCCAGTTCAGGAAACTACCATTTTTACGATACGATACGATAATAGGATACGATAATACTTTATTGGTCAGATCAAGTCTGAAATTTGACTTGCGTCACAGCAGCTCCATGTCCAAAATCAACAGATAAAAGTATCCAGACACAATACATGAAACACAAACAACAAACATTTAACATAACAGCACAATCACTGAGAGAAAACATGCTCAAAGAACCTTCAGCGTGCATTTGATCTGGGATTTAGCTCTGTGTTTACTATGAGGATTGACTGATGCACGAAGGAGTGCTTCAGTCTGACTTTATTGAAACGTGGGACCCTGTATCTCCGATTAGATGGTAGCAGTTCATATTCACTGTTCAGAACATGGTTTGGGTCAGAGATGATGTTGTTGGACAGCCTCACTAGCTTGTTATGATAGGCTGAGTCATAGAGTCTCTGACACGGTTGACCAACAATCTTTGAGCAGATTTTTAACAGGTGGAGCAGTTTTGATTTTAAAGCTGCTGACAAACATTTGTACCAGGTAGTATTGCAGTACTGCAGAATAGAAATGATCACAGATGTAAAGAACAACAGAAGAATTTCTCTGCTCGCCCCAAAAGACCTAAGACGGTGGAGAAAATAAATTCTTTGTTTTGTCCTTTTGCTCAGATATTCAATGTGATCCTTCCAGACAGCAGATGGTCAATCATTACACCCAAGTATTTGTATGAAACTCCCTGCTTGATTTCATCTGTGTGGATGACAATGGGGACTTTATGGGAGTCAGATGGTGAGCCAAAAATGATTTCCTCAGTTTTCTTGGTGTTGATCTCAAGAGCATTGTTATCAGTCCACTCAACCACCTGATTTACAGCCTGTTGGTGCAGCTNAGGTATGGATTTACTTCCATTTTGGCCATTTTTGACACCAAGATGTCTGCTTGTATTGTGTTGAATGCTGATGAGAAGTCTAGGAAGAGGGCTCTTGCATAGGTGTTGCGTTTATCTAAATGTTTAGTGATGATGTGAACTAGAGTGGCCACTGCATCTTCCGTGCCGCACCCTTGTTTATAGGCAAATTGGTATGGATCCAGTTTGTCTTGTGTTGTACTGATAAGAAATCGGAGCAGAATTCTTTCTAGTGATTTCATAATCACTGAGGTGAGGGCTATTGGTCTGTAGTCCTTATGTTCTTTTGGGCATGGAATTTTGGGCAGCGGTTTGATGTGTGAAGTTTTCCATGACAGAGGGATGGTGTGCGTGTCAATAGAAGCCTGAAAGATGGGTTGCCACACTGGAGCCAGCTCAGTAGCAAAGTTCTTCAGCAGAAAACCGCTGCACCCATCTGGCCCAGCCNGTCCTGGACTTTGAGTTGTGGCTGAACCTGTCACTGCGGTCCTGCCTGACTCTCACCATACTACTTCCCTGATGGCTCCCACAAGATTGCTGACATCCTCGTGGATTCATCTTCTTATTATAGACACATGCATTTCCAAACATTTGGTCTTTCCCAACATTTGGTCTACCTACCTATGTTGTAAAATGTATTATCTCTTAGATTTACACACGCCATCTACTGCACGTCTGTCCGTCCTGGGAGAGGGATCCCTCCTCTGTTGCTCCCCTGAGGTTTCTCCCATGTTCCCCTTTAAACTGTGGGTTTTCTCTGGAAGTTTTTCCTTGTACGATGTGAGGGTCTAAGGACAGATGGTGTCGTATTGTCATACTGATATTCTGTACAAACTGTGAAGTCCACTGAGACAAATGTAACATTTGTGATATTGGGCTGTATAAATAAACTGATTGATTGATTGATTGATTGATTGATTGATTGATTGGTACTTCTACAGTCATTTCTGCATCGTTTCAAAGACGTTATACTCTTCTCCACAATGCTGAGGATGAATTTTGGTATTGTGATCATTGTTACAGGAAAAATGATATCAAAGCAGAGCCATCAACAATTTGAAACATGAAATTATATACGTTGCTGACATTTCCTTTTTGCTGTTATACTAGACGTGTTTAGATGTGGATCCCCAGCAGCGAATGCACCTGTCTGAGTCTGGAAAAGACAGGGCAGAGCCACAGTGGTAGAGTGAACCCGAAGCTGGAGCAGAACAATTTCAGAGCTCACAATCGGTAGCTTCAACTGAATGCTAAAATTCTCGTTTGCCCTCCATCTAGGATCAAAGGTCAGTGGTCAAGTGTTTATCGCTCTATAAACGATATGACCGACCAACATTGTGGCTGGGGGTGGGGGGGCTTACAAACATTACAATTATAATGTGTCCCTGATTTCTCTCTCATACTATAACAGCATGTGAAAGATGACTTGATATTTTGGACATAAACTGTGATATGCCAAACTCTGGAGATGTTCATTTTGGCAGTGAATGTGTAAAGTTGCCTTTCCGCTATGAGTCACAATGTCATGTTTGTCTATTGACATGTTTCGAGTGGTTGATGGCAATAGCTGTCCTCATGTAAGCTGTTTGATATTAGCCTCGGGCGCTGAGGCTTGCTCCACAATCCATAATGTCTTGGTCTGTAGCTTCAATTACCTCAGACTAACCCTCACCTGCCTACACTTCCTCACACATACACATACACTGACTGAACCACAACCAGCCAGATCTTTGTTCAATGGGGATTTAAGAAGGACACTTGGAAATACGGACATTTCAGATACCATATTTCAGAACATGTTGTTGCTATTATTTGTTTAAACCAAAACAACAGTTGTCTGTGTTCATGCAATACTATGTTTTGTTTAATTTGAAAGGAACTAGCTGTTTGCTCCATTTGCAATGTATCTAAAAACAGAGTTGTTGCCATGCTCCACATCGAGTTAAGGGAGGTTGAGGAAAGAGGAAATGATGGGGAGGTGACCGTCATCACCACTTGTCATTTTACCCTAAAGGTGTTATCTTGGGATTTACACACTTTAGGCCACTGCTGTAAGTCATCTTGAATTAGCGTGTGTTAACTTATTCGTATCGATAGGTGAGAAAGATTATATTTAATATGGAAACACATATCATTATCTAAATGAACTGTCATGTGAGTTGGTAGGTGTTTTTTTGCTTTAAAGAAAATAACTGGAGCAGGAATCCTTTGAATTGCATCTGTTTTAAGATCATGTCTTTTAATCAAGGAACACAATTTCCACAGAAAACCGCTTTCGACAACTTTATTTATTCGACTCACATTGCAAATTCACACTAAGAGTTAGCATAATGATAAATGTTGTTTGGCTTTGAAATGTTGGTTCATTATAAAATGAAAGTCTGTTGTACAAACAAGTGAGGATCTGAACGTTGTGTGTATTCTTTGTTTGTGAAGAAGTTTATTTTTTGTTTAATTCTTTGTCAGGCTCACAGTGGCATTCCCCGGCATGTGGAAGACAGGATGGGTCGACACCGGTAAACAATAGCATTCATAATGCACCTGTGTGCAGCAAACCAGAGGACACAGCATAATGTGTATAAACACGGTGTAACAAACCTGAGACAGAATAAGCCAAAATCAGCTCATTGGCAGCTATTTGAGAATACTCAGGTTTGTTTTTTTGAGTAACCTCATTTATTTTAAAGATTCGATACAAAAATGACAGGAATGTCATCCTCAGCTAAACCTATTGTGACGAACAATGAATTTTGTTTTGCTAACGAACTAAACACGTTCTTTACCTGTTTTGAGTCACTGGATAATTCTGCAAAGTGCACTGAAATGCTCGAAACCATAATACCTGCTTCCTCTGACAAAATTACCATCAGTGTCGAAGAGGTCAGAAAAACATTTCAGTCCACCAACACCAAGAAAGCGGCTGGGCCAGATGGGTGCAGCGGTTTTCTGCTGAAAAACGTTTCTACTGAGCTGGCTCCAGTGAGGCAACCCATCTTTCAGGCTTCTATTGACACGCACACCATCCCTCTGTCATGGAAAACTTCACACATCAAACCGTGTGCTCTCTACACTGATGAGTGTCGTACCAACACACCAAATCAAGTCATCATTAAGTACTCTGATGACACTGCAATAATATCTCTGCTCAGTAACACAGACACAGACACAGCTGCACCAACAGGCTGTACATCAGGTGGTGGAGTGGACTGATAACAATGCTCTTGAGATCAACACCAAGAAAACTGAGGAAATCATTTTTGGCTCACCATCTGACTCCCATAAAGTCCCCATTGTCATCCACACAGATGAAATCAAGCAGGGAGTTTCATACAAATACTTGGGTGTAATGATTGACCATCTGCTGTCTGGGAGNACACTGTCAGACAATCCACCCTGTCTCAGCCTGTCCCTCTCAGGAGCCAAGAGGCAGGTGCAATCGGGGCGTTACACACTCTCGGCCAACCTCTCCAGGCTTGGCTCCTGAGAGGGACAGGCTGAGACAGGGTGGATTGTCTGACAGTGTTATTCAGTCTATCCAGGCAGCTAGAGCTGGATCCACCACAGCCTGTTACAGGCCAAGGTGGCTAGGATTCCAGCGATGGTGTGAGGAGAGGAGAATAGAGCCCCTATCTTGTGAGTTGGGCTCTATTTTTTCCTTCTTACAGTTACTGATGGACAGAGGGCTTGCGCATTCAACTGTGAAAGTGTATGCAGAAGCCATCTCGTCCTGCCATGAGGGATTTGGTGGCAGCTCAGCCTTTTCTCATCCACCGATGTCACGGTTTTTACAGGGGGTCAGGAGGCTGCGCCCAGTAGTGCACGCCTCCACCCCGCAGTGGGACCTGCCCCTAGTGCTCGGAGCTCTGGTGTCAGAACCATTTGAGCCTCTGGAGCTCTCCTCCCTAAAAGCACTGTCGTGGAAGACAGCTTTGCTTCTTGCCTTAACGTCAGCCAAAAAAAAAAAAACGCTTTGTCGGTGGACCCGAGCTGTTTACTGATTCGGGGTGACCGGAGCGGCGCGACACTCAGACCGAACCCCTCCTTTGTGCCCAAGAGCCTAAGGAGTGCGTTCAGGTCAAGGGTTATTTAGTTAGGGGGTTTTTAGTCTTCCCCTGCCCGGTGCGTGCGCTAGCATGTTATGTGGAGCGCACGGCTGCCCTTAGACGCACCGAACAGCTGTTTGTGTGCTCCGGGGGCGGGGTGACCGGGAAAGCTCTGTCCAAGAAACCTGGCATTCTGGCTCTGCGAGTGCATTGCACATGCCTACGGACAGGCAGGGAGAGCCTGCCCCNAGAAGCGAGTGGAGGGTCCTCCCTTTACTCTACGGTCGCCACCTTTTCCGCATATCGTCGAAGGAACGCGTACCGAGCATACGTTTTGCCAGGTGTCCGTCCCCCCGGCCGGGGAGTGACTCCAGCCGGCGGGACAAGAGTCAGGACGCTTTACCTCCCGAGAGTCTCTATGTGGTGGAACTCGTGTATTGTGTCGGAGAGGCGACACCGGTATGCCGCAACCTCGCCTGGGCGGGACGGCACTTATATTGCGGTGACACCACGGCAACAGCGAGGACTGGTAATGTACAGAGGGAAACTTAATCCCGTACTTTACGACGCTCGATTGTGATGCGGCATCGAATCCCAAGCACAGACACTGAGATATCCGGTCGCGGGTGGATATCGGGAGAAGTCCGTCAGGGAGGGGTAGGACAGAGACCTACGGCGGCCACTTGTGACACTACATCTTCCAGGGGCAGGGCACCTCTGGGGGAGGCCTCCACGTAGCCCCTGGGGTTTTGCCTCCCAACGGGCAGGTGACTCCCCCCCCTACAGTGGTCGACGACAAACACGGAGAACGCTAGTTTGCGTCCGACCTCTTGGTGGAGACGTCCGCCACGTATACGTCCGATTGGGGTCGCCTCTGGTGTTCACTCGCGGCGGACTCTGAGTTCAGATGTACTGCAAATTTCGACATGGACAAGCGGGGACGCGTCGCACCGCGGGCCTCTTCCCTGCGGAGCGAAGCTGTCCACCGCGCAAAGCGCGGCGGACGTAGCTCGGGGGGTAAGGGTGATGTTGCGGCAACCACTCCATACCCCACGGAGAAAAAAGTAACGGCGTTCGGATTAAACCAGTCCCCACACTAGGTTAACACACTGTTTGTAACGGACAAGGGACCTGGGACGGCGTCCCGTCGACGCCCTTTATAAACACCCGAACCCGGTAAATTTTAGTTCTCTTTAGCTGGCACGCACACACCACACCACACACACACACACACACCACACACACACACCACACACACACACACACACACACAACACAACACCACTATGAACGGTTGGGAGGGCTCAAAGTGCCCCGAACCGCCCCTCCGAGGGCGTGAGGGGCCTAAGACTGTTTTGTACTAAATGAGTGCTGACACGGGAGCTGAAATTAATCGATGGGTAACAAAACCAAAGGTACCAATCGCCAGAGAAACGTCGCGCGCGTTGGTTTCAGACCTCTCCAACTCCTTCTACTTTTGCTTGTTCTGCTGTTGAGCTGGGAGACACAGTCGGGAGGACAAAAAGACATTCATATGCCCAGGGTCTGGGTCTGTGTAACGAGGTTACCACGTGCATCGACGAGAGATGTTGATGTATTGGTACATTTACAATTGAGATGTCGAGGCAGCTGGGATCGGTGCGCGCTCAGACGTCTGTTGATGACACGCAGTGACGCTAGCTCAGGTTTGAGTGCTGTGTGCCGTCCCGCGACTTTTCCGCGGGAACTCGTTAGTCTGACTACTGCGACTTACCCGGACTTAATACAAGCGCCGTACAAATGTCTACGTTTCAGTCGGCGGTCCGTCCTGTACGCTGATGGTCATTGAAAATCTGTAACATTTGTTAAAATTTGCTCTAAAATAACACATATGTAAAATGACTATGGTTGATACTATAAAATGGAGAAGATTTTCTTTTTTTTTTAAAAAAAAAACCTTTAATAGCTAAAATAAATAAAATTAAATTCGTTAGTTTGTACACCCTTGCTCCACCCGCACGGGGAACGTGGGGATACCGCCGGCGGTGACGACGGTACTGATACTCAACAGATCCAGGTCACCAAGGGTTTGCACACGGCGCCTGTGACCACACGGCACTCCGTTCGGTCCACAGGACCAAAACACTGTTTGTATGCAATATAACGTTATATTTGATGTGTTTTTATAATAAAAAATAATGATATAGCATGAACATACGGTGTAAAGTATATGTCTCCGTTTGAGCAACACCACCACACAAATCACGCATTACCACCCAACCAACCAACAACCACCACCCAAAACCCTTGAGAAACCCCCCCCCCACTCACCCCACAAGACATAAATTTTAAAAAATTATAGAAACTGGGGCATAAGGCGACAATTGCGTCAACGCGTCCACCCTATTTTGCCTGTGTAGTTTCCGACTTCTGTTATAAGTTTGACTTTTGTCGTTGCCTTTAACCTCGCGAAGAACAGCTCGTTTGTCGTTGTGGCACATCTCCCTACGGCTTTGGGTGGTGGCTTTTCTTCTCCTTTTTTTACAGTCGTCTGTCATGTAACTGTCAAGACAGAGTACCGAAGGTAAACCTGGCCCCTACACTTGTGAGTCGGCTCCGAGCGAGCCTCTTCAACGATTACGGATTGACCAGGTTCGTTCGACTTCTCGTGAACTTGGTTGTTAGGAAAGCGGGCTACAAGTGTCATTGAACTGAAAGTCTTCTCGCGCCCTACCTTGGTCTCGTCGTTCCTGCAACCAACCTAAGAACTTTCACAGACTATGCCGTTTACCTCGCCCAACGTGCCTCGAGTAACGGTTCGTCTTCTTCGAGTGGTATCGCCTTCTGGTAGTAGGGTGACGACTTTTTTTATGACCGTCCACAGTAGACTCCGTCTCGGGCGTTTACCGATAGCTTTCCGGCAGCGACTATAGCGTGTTGTTCCTTCTTAGCATGCTGTACAGGCTTCTGTAACTCGTTTGACCGTCTCTTTGACGTCGCTCGCGTCTAAGGGAGGTTTATTCTTAGATGCCTTAGTCCCCCGACGGTTGAAGCCGTTTGCAGTCATAAACTACGACTGAGGAGTTCTCTGTAAAAATAAGACGTTTTTACCTTTCGGTGTGGTGCGCCTCCTCCTTTTAGTCCTGATTATGATAAAATTTCTCTTGTCCAGCTGACCTTATAACACGCAGCAGAAACGTGTCTACCACGCCGCTCCGTACTGCCGCCTCACTTTCCTAGTAACGATGCCACTCCCGTGTTTTTGGTGTATGCACTGTTTGGTGACGTAAGCGGTGGCCTCGTAACCAACGGTTTGGTCCGGGGGCCCTCAACTGCTCCACGACTTAGTCGGCACGTCTACCACTTAAGTGTATTTAAGTCTCCGGGGCTTTAGAACGGAGACAGAAGGCGACACGCCGGCTCTCCCTCGGCTGGTGGTTCGACAGGAGCGTGTGTCTCCATGAACGAAGTGCCCCCTTTCAAGGATAGGAGAATAACTCGAAGCCCTTGTCGAAAACCAAAAAAAAAAAAAATCAAAAATAAAAACACATATGGCAAAGGGTGTAATTTGTCGAGACGAACCAACTCCCACAAGCGGCCGCCGATGGAGAGTCAAGTACAAAAAACCCGAACTATGCTCAATTTGCGGTACGAAGTCATCCCTAATCTTTGTAAATCAAAAGGTAAAAATTCTAAGCCACAAAACAAACCAAATCCCGTTGAAGAGGACACGTCCATAGAAACCTCGATCCCGTGGTACACTGTAAGGGGACTGAGCGACAAAAAAGGCAGTCGTACAAAAAAAAGACATCAAAAGACAAAACCATACGCTTTGGAAGTCTGGAGATTTTCTCTCAACTCGTATAAAGGTGACCCACCGACTGTAGCTAATGAAATAAACCATGACCTAGGATTTGGAAAAGGAGAAACCATTAGGGGGTGAATCGAGAGGTACTTTAACTCTCTCCCAATCAGCGTCCAGGACCACTAAGCAGATGACTTGAAGTAAAAAGTCTCAGAGATAAGACTAGATCAAAAAAAACCCAAAAAAACGAAAAGAAAACCTCTGGGTTACGTACAAGGGTAGGTGCGCTAAAAACAAATTCGATATAATAACAAGTAACAAGGTAATGAAATGGACACCTCGACACGCAGAGATGAGACTAGAATATACTTCTTGTATGCTCGTCAAAAAAAAAACCAAAAACCAGTGCGAAGACAAACTTAACATGAAAACTACAAACGGGAGAAGAAGTCACAGTAGTAAACTAATAGTTTATAAATAAAAACGCGCGGAATAACCGGCACCGACCGCACATAACATAAGGACGCTCACAATATAGACCCCCATCTTATCCCCGTTACAAAATTTTAACGATCGCTCCGCTCTACCCGCCCCCAACCCCACCTTACAACACATACAATACCTCCTCTACCCACTCCACACACCCCTAATACAAAA